CCACCGTGGCCACGGCCGTAGACCCTGCCGCTAGTCTCCGCCTGCCTCTCACTGGCGTCTTTATGAAACTTTTCCAGGCTCCCAGACCCATTCGGGGCCTCCGCGGGGCCTGGCCCGGAGCCCTGCTTCCCTCCAGCCCCCGCTGCCATCTCCAGCCCCTTCCTCCACCGAGGTAGGCGCCCCCTCCCCTTGGGAAAGGTTCCAGGCAGGGAGGGGGGAACTCAGTCTCCGTAGCACCAAGGAGCCCCAGCTAGTTAAGCAGAGTCAGCTGGGAGGCGGCTGGAGCCGGCCGCTTGCAACCTTGGGGACGAGGAGGCGACAGGGACCGGCCTGATCCAGGGTCTCTTCCCACAGCCAGGCCCAGAGAGCCCGGTGTCCCTCCTGCAGGGAAGCCACCCCTCTCCATTCTGCTGGCCCCTCTGTGAGATCTCTCAGGGCACCCACAACTTCTCAGAGGAGCTCAAGATCGGGGAGGGCGGCTTTGGGTGCGTGTACCGCGCAGTGCTGCGGAACACCGTGTACGCCGTGAAGAGGCTGAAGGAGGTGAGTGTCGTGTCCGGCAAAGGCTTGGAAGGCCACACACAGCCCTCGCTCGCTTCTCCATCCCTGCGCCTGGCTCCAGCCCTCCTGGTTGTCCTGGGCCTGGGACGAGAGGCACCGAAAGGGCCCAGCAAGCCTGGCTGCCAAGCCTCACGCTGCCCGTCTGCCCCCCGGGCTGCAGGAGGCCGACCTGGAGTGGACCGCGGTGAAGCAGAGCTTCCTGACTGAGGTGGAGCAGCTGTCCAGGTGAGCCTCCAGGGTCCCTGCTGGCTGCGGGCAGAGGGACAGCTGCCCCAGGGCCCTGCCGGGCTCCAGGACCATGCCACAGGACCAGGCTCCGTCGGGCCTCTGAAACCCGCCAGGCCCAGCCGAGCTGAGGCACCAGCGGGGGCTGCCCACCCAGCTTGGCCAGATGAGACGTGCATCGGGAGCTGGGGGTCCAGAGGGCTCAGGTCCTGCTTTTCCAAACAGGTTTCGTCACCCAAACATCGTGGACTTTGCTGGCTACTGTGCTCAGAGTGGCTTCTACTGCCTCGTGTATGGCTTCTTGCCCAACGGCTCCCTGGAAGACCCGCTCCACTTTCAGGAGGCTCCTCTGGCCTGGCGTGCCCCCCGGGCCCGAGGCCAAGGGCTTTTAGCCCGTGCGAATGGGGCCTGCCACTCCCACCCCCTTGCAGCCCCTGGCCTCTCCCTGGTTGCTCCTGTCAACCGGGCTGTTGACCTGAGCTGCTCTTCGCAAGCAGAGCAGCTGAAGGGTCTCGTCAGCATGGTCCTTGGGGCAACAGGCCAGTGGGCAGCAAGCCATAGCGTCTGGCCCCCAGACTGGGCTCATGTGGGCGAGGTACCTGTGAGACGCAGGCCCCGGGCGCCTGTGGACCAGAGTGCCCTTGCCTTCTGGCTTCAGCTGTGTTTGGGGAGCGTGAGGTGGATGCTCTGAAGGACTTCCCGACTGCCCAGGGCTGGAGGCGCGAACTCTGGGAAGCGAAGCCTGGCAGATTCTGTCATGAGTGCCAAGAACACGTTCCCAGCCGTTTCCCCAGCCCCGGAGTATTGTACGGGGCGCTGGGGTTGCCCCGTCTCCACCCGCTTGGGAAGTGGCTCACGGAGACTCTGCTCCTCGTTTTCCAGAAAGGGCAGCTGGGGCCCAGAGGGTGAAGCGGCTTGGTTCAGGCCACACGGTGACAGCTAGAGTGACGGCTTGGGGTCAAGGAGCGGCCGTCTGCCAGCTTCCCCCATGCCTCTTTGCTCCCTGTGCTGCCCAGACCCAGGCCTGTCCCCCTCTCTCCTGGCCTCAGCGAGTGGACATCCTTCTGGGCACAGCTCGGGCAATTCAGTTTTTACATCAGGACAGCCCTAGCCTCATCCACGGAGACATCAAGAGGTGAGGAGGGGCCCGTGGCGCTGCTCCCCCGGGAGCACGTCCTGTTGATGTAGGGGCCAGGCCCGGGTGTGGAAACAGGCCAGGGATGGGCCCCACGGATAAGCAGAGCCCAGGCTATGCCAGGGTGATCCAGGAGCTCTGGGGCACACCAGCCACTTTCCGGGGGCGGGCCACCGTCTGGCAGCCTCAAGTCTCCTTTCACGCAGGCCAGGACGGCTGATAGCATCCTCTCCCCCCACAAGCTCCAACATCCTTCTGGATGAGAGACTCACGCCCAAGCTGGGGGACTTTGGCCTGGCCCGGTTCAGCCGCTTCGCAGGGGCCAACCCCAGCCAGAGCAGCACCGTGGCCCGGACACGGACCGTGCGCGGCACCCTGGCCTACCTGCCTGAGGAGTACATCAAGACGGGGAGACTGGCCGTGGACACTGACACCTTCAGCTTCGGCGTGGTGAGCGCCAGGCCCTCTGCCGGCTTAGGGGAGGAAAGGGTCCCTCCCTCCCCTGCATCTGATTATGCGTCTGTAATGCCACGTCGGTTTTCTTCAAGCGGGCCCTCCGAGCTGCCTAGGCTTCGGCCTCATGATCCCTCGTTCTGTCCCTGTCGGACGCCGGTCCTTATCTGCCCGTCACAGGACCGTACCCCTGTCAGCCCCAGTCCGTGTCCATCGCAGAGGTCTCTTCCCTGTACACGGTCCCTCCCTGCCCCGGCCTGGGTGACACTGTCCCAGGAGCCACTGCCACGCTCGCCACCCTGCCCTTTCCCCAGGTGGTCCTGGAGACCCTGGCTGGCCAGAGGGCCGTGGAGATGCGTGGCGCCAGGACCAAGTATCTGGTGAGTCTCCTGGGGCGGGGCAAGGAGGGAGATGCTGCTCCTGGCCCCCGGCAGGCGCAGTCCTAGAGGGCAGAACGATCCAGAATGCCGTGCCGCGCCGCGCAGAAGCCTGCGTCCGCTGCCGCTGCCTCATCTTTGAAAGTGGGCAAGGACCCCACGCAGCTTCCTCCGCCTCGCTGAGGAAAAGCCTGTCTTTCTCCTGCTGATGCCACGGGCCTTCTACGGACCCCACCTGGGCTGGGGGCAGGGGCAGGGGTGGGGCTGTCCCAGCGCGCCGGGGCCAGGGCTGAGTGGAGTGGCCCGGGGCCTGCGAGAGGCGCTGGTGGAGAAGGCAGGCCCGGAAGCCTCCCAGGCCCTCCAGGCCTGCGTGGGCGCCGCTGCCCGTGGGTGCTCTGCCCTGCGCGGGGCAGGGCTGACCTGCCGTGGTCTTGCTCTGTCCCTGTCTGCTTCACCATGGACTGAGAGGGGGCCGAGAAACCAGAGACCTGGGTTCTAGTCCCAGCTCGGCAGCAGCCTTGGAGCAAATTCCTGCTCCTGCCTGGGCCTCAGTTTTCCTGTACGCAAGACAGACTTCACGGAATGTCCCCAGCCAGTGTCTGCTCTTTGCTTCCGCAGACATGCACGCCTCCGCTGCTTCTGCTTGGGCTGTCCTGTCTGTCGTGGGGTCTCCACAGGCCTTCGCTGAGGCGGACCCCCTCCTTCCTTCGCCTTCCTGCTGGTGGTGTCTCCAAAGCTGGCCCCGAAGTAGGCCGCTGTCCTTACCCCTGCCCTGGCAAAGCACGCCGGACTCCTCAGCACCCTTCCCCTTTGCTTTCCACTCCGTGGCCAGAGTGGTCTTCCAGACCCCCCTTGCCTTTGCTCTGCTCTGGGCGAAGGCCCAGTCCATTATGCGGCCTAGCCCCACAGCTCCCCAGGTCCGCTGTCCCTCGGCATGCAGAGCCACCACCCACCCAGGCGGTTCCTACCGGTTTGTGCCATCTCAGAACTGAGGTCGGCCTGGTCCCACTTGTGCCCCCAGGACACCTCTCAGTGGGGTGTTTTCCTCCTTGGCTCTGTCCTCTCAGGCTAGTTCATGCCCTCAGAGTGCAGCCCAGGGGCCACTTGCCCGGGTCCGGGTCGGACACCCGTGGGCCTCTCCACCAAGTTTATAAGCTTGCTGGTATCCCTTCCCCCCACCAGGAAGTCAGCTCCATGCAGCCAGGGCCCGGGTGTTCTGTGTGTGGCTGTGTCACCAGAGCCCACGACAGCACTGGGCACATGGCGGGCGTTGAACAAATCCATAGAAGGAAGACCACAGACTTGGGTGACAAGAGCTGTGCTCACAGTATCTGTCCCACAGAAAGACTTGGTTGAAGAGGAGGCCGAGGAGGCTGGGGTGGCCCTGAAAAGCACCCAGACCACACTCCCAGCAGGTCTGGCCATGGATGTGTGGGCCGCTCCCGTCGCCACCCAGATCTACAATAAGCACTTGGACCCCAGGCCTGGGCCGTGCCCACCCGAACTGGGCCTGGGCCTGGGCCGGCTGGCCTGCTGCTGCCTGCACCGCCGGGCCAAGAGGAGGCCCCCCATGACCCAGGTAGCCCTGGGGGGACAGGGTGGCTAGCCAGAAACCCCACATCCCTGGCCCCGTTCTGTCGTGAGCCAAACGCAGCGCCTGCCAGGCCTCTTCCTGGATGCCATCCTCCCACATGTCTTGCTTGCCCTTTGGTTCTGCGGGGTGACGTTCCACAGAACTGAGGGCGGGCCAGGCCTGCTTTGCTGGACCAGGCTCTGACCCCACTTCATAGAGGGAGGAGGAATGGGCTTCTACCACGCCCTCTGCTGGGAACCCTGGACCACTGCGTCTGCCTTTTCCTGTCTCCTCCCTGGTCTCCCACCTCCCCCCTCTGGTGACAGTTAAAAATAAGAAGCCCGTTTGAGGCAGCAAGGCAGTGACATTCACTTTCTGGAAAAGAAAGAGAAACTGCACACAGTGGCTCACGCCTGGACTCCCAGCTACTCAGGAGGCCAAGGCAAGATCACTTGAGGCCAGTTCGAGACCAGCCTGGGCAACATAGTGAGACCCTGTCTGTACCCCCCAAAAAGAGAGGGAGTAATAGAAGAGAAAGAGGAGCCGTTCTCAGTCCTTGGCTTTGGTAGCCGTGGTCCTTGGCATTCTTGTGGCAGGGACAAAGGGGCAAGGGACCGGGCTTTCTCAGCCGCGGGGCGTGCCAGGTCACTGGTTCTGCAGTCCCCAGCTGTGCAGGGCCCGGGGCAGCAACCTGAGCCCAGGGACTCCCTGGCACAGCCCTGTGCTCCGAGCGTGGGCTCGGCTCACCCTGAGGGCCTCTCTTCTCTCCTCGCAGGTGTACAAGCGGCTGGAGACGCTGCAGGCAGCGGTGGCGGGGCTGCCCGGGCAGCCAGGGGCCGCCAGCTGCATTTCCCCTTCCCCACAGGAGAACTCCTACGTGTCCACCACCGGCAGCGCCCAGAGCGGGGGTGCCCTGTGGCAGCCCCTGGCAGCTTCATCAGGAGCCCTGGCCCCGGCTGCAGAGCGGCTCCAGGAAGGCCCCAACCAGCCCGTGGAGAGCGACGAGAGTGTATTCGGCCTCTCTGCGGCCCTGCACTCCTGGCACCTGGCCCCGAGCCGCCCGGCAAGCCCGGCAGCTCCGGGGAAGGCCGGCTCTACTCAGGGCGACGCCACTGGAGAGTCCAGCTGGGGGAGTGACCCGGAGCTGCGGCCTACAGCCACGGAAGGTAGCTAGGGGACAGGTGTCCAGAAGAGGGACTGGGGCCACTTGTTCAGCTCTCTATGTCCTTAGCAAGCGTGAGGCCGCAGAGAGGGGCACGGCGTGGCCTGGTGCCATCTGGTTCCCTCCCCAGGGCAGGCCCTCCCAGGTAGGTGGCGAGGGCCGGGAGCTCGCTTTCTGTCCCTTTCCCTCTTTGCTCCCGAAGGCCAGGAACAAAGCAGGCACTGTCGGGCCGTGCACTGGGAGCCCTGTCCCAGGGCCAGGGAGGCAGGGCGCTAGGCTGCAGCTGGCAGGCTGTAGGAGGCTGAGAGGGGGCCGTCTCCTCCCAGGGTCGTCCCTGGGCAGCTCCGTGTCGTCCTCGGAGCCGCCACAGATCATCATCAACCCAGCCCGCCAGAAGATGGTACAGAAGCTGGCCCTGTACGCGGACGGGGTCTTGGACAGCCTGCAGCTGCTAGCGTCCGGCTCCCTCCCAGGTACAAGAGCCCGCTTCGGCCCTGCCGGCCCCACCTCCTCCCCGCCCCCACCCCACGCCGCCCGCCCATGCACACACTGCGCCCCGATGGCTGGCTCGGGGGCGTTGGGCGCGTCCTCTGCCAGCCCCACACAGCAGAGCGTTTGTTCTGACTGCACGGCTGGGCGAGGCCCTGGCTCCCGGAGGAGGTGCGGCCACCAGGCAGGCCACTCCCTCTGGCCCCCACGCCCGTCACCCCTGACGACAGCACTTTCCCCCGCCTGAGGGGGCCGGTCCCCACCACGGTCCCAGAAAGCGTGACGCCTGGCCGGGAGTTCCCGTTCCAGGAGCGGCCGGGCTGCCGCCTGGAAGCGGAACCCTCGGTTCCGAGAGGGCCCGGGTGCGGGGCGGCAGGGCCCCGACCCCACTTGCTTGCAGCAGCCTCTCCTCCTCCCCCCGCAGACTTGGGCCTGGAGCGGGGAAGCAGGCCGGGGCCCGAGGAGAGTGACGAGTTCCAGAGCTGACCGTTCCCCCGGCACGTCCCCACACCCGGAAGTCAAAGTTCTCATGGTCTGAAGTTCTCATGCGTGCGAGCCCAGCAGCCCACAGACGGTGGGACAGGGCCACCCTCGCAGGGCAGACACGGTGGCCCCTGCCGCTCTGGGGGCAGGCTTGGCCGAGGCCAGCCTTCGGTCGAGCACCCGGGGAAAGGAAAGCTGGCATCGCCAAGAGGCAGCGCGGTCGGGGAGGAGGCCGGGTGCTGTGCAGTGGCCTGGGGCAGGACGGGGCTCTGGCTCTCTGAGAGCCAGGCAGGCGCCTGCAGCCCAAGCCCATCTCCATGCTGCTCTCAAGCCCCGAGGGAAAGGGGCCACTGCACAGCGGAGCGGACAGGCCTGAGGCCCACCCCGCCGCTAACGGTTTGGGAGAGCGGAGCGTGGCTGGCCTGCACTTCCGTCACCAGCAGGAAGTGTCCCGGGCCAGTGTCCACGAGCTTGACTGGGCCCTGTGAGCCGGGCCGCTGCTGGACACCACCGATGGCCTCCAAGCCAGGTCAGGCTTTGGAAGCCCCCAGGCCCGGCCTCGGACCCAGGCACCGATTGTGGCAGAGGGGCCTCTAGCCAAGGTCCAGGAAGGCCCAAGCCCTGCGCCACCCTGTTAGTGAGCGGCCCCAAGAATGCAGGACATGGGGAGAAGGCAGAGAGGAAAGGAAAGCATTTTCAGGAAAACAAAAAGCCTGACACACGTCTTCAGAAGCGAGTCGGGCTTCCTGTAACCGAGTGTTCTCTGGGGTGTCTTCGGAAGTAGCCCAGAGCTGTGGCACAGGCGTCCAGTGACCTCGTGTTCACAGTCATGAGTCACACTACATGCCCCGTGAAGCTAGGCATTGGTGAAGTCCAGGTTGTCCTTGAATAATAAAGGCATACGTTCCACTTCTGGCTGCACCCGTGGAGTTTGTCGCGCTGGAAGCCTCGGGCTTTCCCTGTGCCGTCCATCTCGGTTCCTGGGTGTCCAACCACAAATTCCAGACCCCTAGGCTCATGTCCACTCCCGGTTGGCCACACCCACACTGCCAACAGGTCCACAGGACTGCCGCCCAGCACTTTCACATGAAGTTACCCCGGTGCAGCTCACGTTTCTTGATGCTACCGTAAATGACATCTGTTTGGCTTTCTAATTGATCATTTGAGAGTGTATAGAGATAGAATTAGTAGAGATAGAATTGGACACGGTGGCTCACACACTTTGGGAGGCCAAAGCAGGAGGATTGCAGGATCGCTTGAGCCCAGGAGTTTGAGACCTGGGCATCATAGCAAGACCCTGATTTTAAAAAATAAAGAGAAGAAAAAAGGAAAAACATACAATTGAGTTTTGTGTAGGGGCCTTGTATCCTGAGGTCTTGTTTAGATTCACGTATTAGTAATAGCAGTGCTTTGGTGAACATCTTGGGATGGTCTGTGCCCACAGTCGTGTCATCTGCAAATAAGGCCAGTTGCCCTTTCTGGTCTGGATGCGATTTGGTTCGCCTTCTTGCACTGCCTAGGGCCTGCTTGCCAACCTTCGGTGGAAAGTGGTGTCTTTTCACCATTAAGGGCGTGTTATCTGCAGGATTGTTGCAACAGTATTTTGTCAGGTTATTCTAGTTTGTAGAGAATTTTTGTTATACATAGTTGTTGAATTGGAGGAGAGTGTTACTGGATAACTTTCAAACGTTTCCTCAATAGTTCCTGTCCAGTGCAGTGTCTCATACCTGTCATCCCAGCACTTTGGGAGGCTTGCCTAAGCTCAGGGGTTCGAGACCCACCTGGACAACTTGGTGAGACCTCGTCTCTACAATAAATCACAAAAGGAGCCGGGTGTGGTGGTGTGCACCTGTAGTTCAGCTACTTGGAAGGCTGAGGCGGAAGGATAGGCTGAGCCCAGCAGGTCGAGGCTGCGGTGGCAGTGAGCGTGCCTCTGCACTCCAGCCTGGGCGACAGAGTGAGACTCCTACTCAAAAAAAATAAAAATAAAAAAAAGGGATCCCATGAACTTTCTCCTTTATTCTGTGAATATGGGGAGCCATGTTGATTTTCACGTGTTTAGCCAACCATGCATTCCCTAGATAAAAACAGTACATGGTCACGATGTGCTAGCCATTTATATACTGCTGAATTCTAATATATCTTGAACTTCAGGGCTTTTTGTTTTTGAGTCAGTCTTACTCTGTTGCCCAGACTGGAGTGCAGCGTCACCATCACAGTTCACCACAGCCTCAACCTCCAGGGTTCTGGCAGTCCTTCCTCCTCAGCCTCCCGAGTAGCTGGGACTATAGATGTGCGCCACCACACCCAGCTTATTTTTTTTATTTCTTTGTAAAAATGGGGTCTTGCTACCTTGCCCAGGCTGGTCTCAAGCTCCTGGGCTCAAGTGATCCACCTTGGCCTCCCAAAGTGCTGGGATCACAGGCATGAGCCACCACACCCAGCCTCAAATTTTTGTATGTTCACGAGGGACCTTGGTCTGCGGTTTTCTGGTAATAGCTTTGTCTGGCTTTGGTATCACGGCCCCCAAATCTGGAACGTGTTCCCTCCTCCTGTGTTCTTAAAGTGCTGGTATATGCTATGCTTGGTGCTACTTATTTAAATGTCGCTGGTTTCTCAAGCGAAGCCATCGGTACCTGGAGTTTTCTTTGTGAGGAGACTTTTGATTACAAATTCAGTTTCTTTTTTTTTTTTTTGAGTTGGAGTCTCACTCTGTCGCCAAGACTGGAGTGCAGTGGCCACTCCCGGCCACCACAGCCTCGACCCGCTGGGCTCCGGCGATCCTTCCGCCTCAGCCTTCCGAGGAGCCGGAATTACAGGTGTGCGCTACCACGCCCGGCTGATTTTTGGATTGATTGTAGAGATGAGGTCTCGCTGCCCAGGCGGGTCTCGAACCCGCGGGCTCAGGCAATCCACTCACCTCAGCCTCCCAAAGGCGCGGGATTACAGGCTGAGCCATTGAGCCTGGCTAGTTTCTTATTTTTTATTTTTTATTTTTGGGTCAGAGTCTCATCACTCTGTCGCCCAGGCTGGAGTGCAGGGGCACACTCAACGACCACCGCAGCCTCGACATGGTGGGCTCAGGTGATTGTTCCACCTCAGCCTTGCAAGTAGCCGGAACTGCGGGCACAAGCCACCACACCTGGCTAACGTTTGGATTTATTGTAGAGACAAGGTCTTGCCAAGTTGCCCAGGTGAGTGTCGAGCCCATGGGCTCAGGCAGTCCTCTTGCCTCAGCCTCCCAAAGTGCTGGGATTACAGGCATGAACCACCATACCCAGCGAGTTTTTTTATTTTTTGTAGTGATGAGGTCTCGCTATGTTGCCCGGGCTGGTCTTCAACTCCTGGGCTCAAGCGATCCTCCTGCCTCGGCCTCCCAAAGTGAGATTCCAGGTGTGAGCCACCACAGCCGGCCCTTTCTCCTTTTCTAATACAAGCATTAAAGCTATAAATGTTCCTTTGAGGACAGCTTGAGTTCCATTCTGTACTTTGGAATATGTTCTATTTTGTTATCATTCAGTTCATAATATTTTCTCATTTCCCTTGTGATTTCTTCTTTATCCAAATGGCTTTCTTAGAAGTGTGTTATTTAATTTACAAATGTTTGGTAGGCTTGCAGGTTATCTTTTTGCTATGCGTTTCTGATCTGATTTCATCGTGGTCAGAGAATTGAATCTGATTTCATTTCTTTTAAATGTATTATTTGTTTAATATAGCTTATTTAAAAATACATCAGAATGAGAAAGCGAAGGGAGAGAGAAGATTCACCTCCCCGAGGTGAGGGAGGGGGCCAAAGCCAGGAAGCGTGGCGACAGCCGTGGCTCAAAGAGCACATGGCCACGCCAGAGTCTAGCAAGGCGATGGCCACTTTTAAATGTATTAAGACTGGTTCTGTGGTGTATGTATGGTTTAGCTTGGTAGACATTCCGTGGGTATTTGAGAAGAATACGTATTCTGTCGTTGGGTAGAGCACTCTGTCGGTGTCGACGGGTCAAGGTGGTTCTGTCTGGTATCGCAGTCCTGACTGCGGTTGTGGATTTCTCCTTCCCCTTGCAGTTCTGCTGCGTTTTGCTACGTGTGTCCTGGAGCTCTCTTGCTGGGTGCTTACTCATGTATGGTTGTTAAGTGTTCTCGATCAGCGGGACTCTGTTATGGCCATGAAATGCCCCTTCATCTCCGGCAAGTTTCCTTCTTTTGAAGTCGGCTTTGTCTGGTATGAATAATGGCCACTCTGGCTTTCTCATGCTGCTTTTCTTCGTGGCGCAACTTTTTCCGCTTTTAAGTTTTAACCCATCTGTGTTTTTGTGCTGAAAATCCATTTATTGTAGACAACATATGGTTCTGTCACTCAGGCTGGAGTGCAGTGGCACAATCACAGCTCACTACAGCCTCGACTTCCTAGGCTCAAGCAGTCCTCCTGCGTAACTAAGAATGCAGGTGCTTACCATGCCTGGCAGATTTTTTTTATTGTTCGTAAAGGTAGGGTCCCCCATGTTGCCCAGGCTGGCCTCAAACTCCTAACCTCAAGCAGTCCTCCCACCTCAGCCTCCCAAAGCACGAGGATGACAGGCGTGAGCTACTCCACCTGGCCGTGTCTTTCTCTTTTTTGAATTTTTAAGTTTTTTGTGGAGACAGGGTCTCACTGTGTTGCCCAGGCTGGTCTTGGACTCCTGGGCTCAAGCAATCCCTCTACCTCAACCTCTAAAAACACTGGGATTACTTTTTTTTTTTTTTTTTTTTTGAGTCGGAGTCTCACTCTGTCACCCAGACCGGAGTGCAGTGGCCGCTCCCGGCCACCGCAGCCTCGACCCGCTGGGCTCCGGAGATCCTTCCGCCTCAGCCTTCCGAGTAGCCGGAATTACAGGCATGTGCTACCACGCCCGGCTGATTTTTTGATTTATTGTGGAGATGAGGTCTCGCCAAGTTGCCCAGGCGGGTCTCGAACCAGGGATTCCTTTTTTTATTTTTATTTCTTGAGTTGAGGTGTCGCCCAGGCTGGAGTG